ATCTTAGTTGCTACTTCATTTTCTTTGCATTTCATTTGCCAATATTCGATTAATACTTTTTTCTTTTTCTTTTTGACCATCTTTCCAAGCTGTTTGTGGTTTCATGTACCATATATTATTTATTCTTTTCTTCTTCTATTTTCTGATATATGCTCCCATTTGACTTGCATTGCCTGGGTGTTTTGTTCACCTGTTCTAAAGTAGCTTTGTACTGCTCTGTTCTCTGGGCTGCTGAGCACTTTTGTCTCAATTGTTTTGAACCATTTTGCTTTTTTCCCTTTACTTGATTGGCCTTGATAACTGTCAGGTGGTTAATGAATGTGAATAGCTTCATACTTAATCTGCCTAATGGTTTAAATATTTAATTTATGCACTTGCTTTTACTTTATTACACCTTTGTTTTTTTGTAATTTTGCCAGTCTACTCCTTCTAAACATTTCTTACTACCAACATACTACTGATGGCATGGCATAGTTTATTTTATAACTGGTTATTTACAAGAAAATTCCAAGTATGTTTGATCTTATAGATCGAACCTTTATTTATAGTTTATTATATGCTATTGCATGATCGACACAATAAGCTTCCTTATTATATTGTTAGTCTGTTATAGATTTTAAATTACACTACACTACCTAACATATTATATATATATGATGCCAATCATTACCAACATATAGTACCCTTGTAATGCCTGATCCTGGTAATTAGCACTACATGCAACCAATCATCACCTGTTATGAGCTAGACTCCTATGACCTTCATCTCGAAGGTCATAATCTTCTTCATTCGTTTCTTCTAATTGTTATCCCTTTTCATTATTTCCCTTATTTTCCTTAAACATGTTAACTTTTAACTTCTTAATTCAATTTCTCATCACTAGATCTTTTAATTTTATATTATCCACTTCTTCAAGATAACATTGTCCATGCTTTTCTACTTTTGTTATTTTATAGAGACCGATTCATCGATAATCAAGTTTTCAGAAACAGGTTTCTAGGGTTGAATCATAAACCAAAACAAGATCACTAGTTTTAACTGAATCACTTTTCCGAGCCCAATGGTCATGGAACTGCTTTCATCGTTCCTTCATTTTATCTTTGTCAATACGTGCTTTTTCTAAATCACCAACCAGGCCTTTAATTTGAAGAGTTTTATATTCTAATAATTGATTGGTAGTTCATTCACTTCAGAATATGTATGTATGATAACTTTTCATCACCAATTCGATTAGCATTATTGCATCTCTTCTATAGACTAACTGAAATGGCGAATATTCCAAATCACCAACCATCATATTTATCACCCAAATGGCACTTCGTAAATATTCATGCCATCAATTTTGTTGTTCTGTACAAAATTTTCGAATTATTCTGATAAATTTTTGCACAAACGTTTTGTATGTCCATTTGCTTCAGGATAATAACTAGTGACAAATTGCTGATCTATATTTAAACATGACAATAGTTCCTCTATGATTTTATTTTTAGATTTGGTTCTCTGATCTGAAATTAATGCTGTAAAGTATCCATGCCATAAAATTATATCATCCCAAATGAACTATGCTATAGATTTTGCATTTTTATGAACCAGAGCTCTTCCTTCAACATACCCAGTTAAATCCTCAATTGCTAGAACTACATGTTCATGTTTGGCAACAGTTTGGGGCAGAGGCTTTAAACAGTCAATAAGATTCTTTCAAATATCCAACTCATTGTTGTTATGTGTATTGGTTCTGGAAGTAACTTTGGCATACATTGTTGACATTGTATGCAACTTGACACTACTGCTTTGACATCATTATACATATTACCATTTCCCCAAACATATTTTATTTTTATCATATTTGCAGTTCTGTTGATGCCTTGATGTCTCCCTTCATTAGCTGAACCTTCATAGTTTGCTTTAATAACTAGATACTTCTCATGATTATTCAAAAGAACTCATTTGGATAGAGCACCTTTCTTCGATCTTAAGTATAGTTGTCACTAATCAAACAATATTTCTTTAATTTTTAATTTAAACATGCTAGGTTATATGACTTCACATAGGTTTCCCATCTTTGATGTTGTAAATAATGCTTTATTGAAAGTAGATCGTTGGTTTGTTGGCATTCAAAATCAACCTTATACATAAGATTTTTCACAAAATCATCATTGGTAAATACATTTTGTGCTGAAGAATTGGGATAACATAACATACTATCAGCATTACAATGTTTCTTCCCTGATTTGTATTGAACCCGAAATTCAAATGATTGCAACAACAAAACCCATCACATTAATCTGCTCTTTAATTCCACCTTATTAAACAACTATTCCAGTGCTTGATGATCTACCCAAATAATAAATTCGGTTTTATCAACATATCATTCATTCACATGACATTTGTATACGATCACTAGGCATTCTTTTTCTGTAATCGTATAATGCACTTCATGTTCGTTTAGTTTTCTTAAGTCAAACAATATGGGTCTTAATCTTCCCTCCTCGTCTTCTTGCTCAAGCACAACCCCAACTGAGTGATCACATGCATCTGTAAACATATGATATGGTTTTCATTCATTCTTGGCTGCTTGCCAATCAGGACTCTTCAGTATGACATCTTGGATCAATTTATGTTTCAACAGATCGAATGCCACCCTTTGTTCATTTTCCTATTTAAATATCGCCTCTTTTTTTGTTAAATCAGTAAGAGGCTTCGCTATTTGACTGAAGTTTTCTATGAACCTTCTGTAATAGTTAATAGTTTCATGAAATGATCACACTTCCTCTATACTATTCGGTTTCTTCTATTCCTTAATTTTTATCATTCTTTTTGGATTCACTTTAATACCTCTTTTGCCTACAACATAACTATACATTTCCAACTCATTGTATAGAATAAAGCACTTCTTGACTACAAAAGTCAAGCCAGCCTTTTTAAACACTTCTGCTAGTTTGATAAAAGTGCTCAAAGCTCTTTCATGCTTTCATCGGTCCATATACCTACATCATTCTGATAAGCCGCTGCAACATTTTTCCACTTATTACTATCTAATAATCGATCCATTAATCTTTGAAAGGTTTCACTTGCATTTTTTAGGCCTATATACATTACAGTGTATCTCAATACATCTAAAAATGTAGCCATGGCTACTTTGTTACGGTTCTTTTTACGGATGCCAATTTGCCAGTATCCTTTAAACACATCAACAGGCAAATATCAATCATGCCCTGTAGCTTGCTCAAGTATATCTCTTATTATCAATAGTAGGTAACTGTCTTTGATTATATATTTATTAAGAGGTTTCATATTACCCACAGCTCACAGCTTATCAGTTTCTCCTTCTTTCTTTTGTACCAGGAAGCAATGATAAGCAAATTCTTCAGATCCCTTTTCCAACAACTCACATCTAATCATTTCTTTCAGATGTTCTTTGAACATCATTCTCATTTCTGGATTGTTAATTCTTATAGGTCTTAATTACATTGATGGTATTATAGCATCATCAGTTCTAACTTCGTATTTAACTAAATTGGTTTTTTCAATATCCTTTAGTTCGAAAGCAAAGACTTCGGATACCTTAAACATCAATCGATCAATTACTATATTTTTTATTGGTTTGTCTTGAATCTTCTGTTCCAAGTTGATTAGAATACTATTCTCTTTTGTTAGTCGTAAAACTAACAATATATTGTTTCTTTCAACTGATACATCATCATTCTTCTTTTTAGTCTCCCAATAATTCACTTTCCTACAATAGAGTAATCCTTCCAAATTTTTACATTCGATCGGTTCAACCTTTCTTATCATCACACTATTCTTATTTTTTGTATTAGACAAAATGTTTTGTATATTATCTTCGATTTCAAGTTCATCCATCTCAACTCTTCTTACTGCCATTACATTATCGATTTCATCGTAATTACTTTCATCATCACTATCTTCATATTTTTCATATTCTTGTCTGTTAGTAATCCAACTTTTTGGTACTGTTGATACCACAAAAGACGCAGATCTGGTTAAGAAAGAAATGATACACCAGTATTTATTACCTTTCTATCCAAGGTTGCATTGACTTCTGGCAATCCAAGGCATGCCAAGTAGTATGTCGAAACTAGCAGTTTCTATAATATAGAACCATTGGTTCATGACCACATCTTCTATTTCTATTTCAACATTTGGTATATATCCAATGAATTGACTGATTCTGTTGTCAGCCATTCTCCCTTTTCCACCAACTTGATTCCAAGTTAAACCTCTTCTTTCAGCATATTTCTTTAACATTAAGTTGATTTGGGACCCTGAATCAATCGGGGCTTTTACAATATCACTATTTACTTTGATGGTCCACACTAGTACAACTTCACCCAAGTTCATTTTGGTTGTTTGCAGAACACCATGTACAATTCTGATTTTCGCATTTATATTATTGACTTCATTCTCATTTCTTCATCGTGACAATGCTTTTATTACTTTTGTTTAGGCTTTCAGAGATCACTTAAACAATTGTTCAAGATTAATGGTTATCTCCATTCCAGCAATTCTTTTTAATATGTCAAGTTCATCTAATAGTTTAGTGAATGGTATGTACATAATGTTATCAGCTTGTTTTGACATTTCATTTTCATTTACTAATTTGCTGATTTTTTCCTTCTTATTTGATTGTTCTAAGGATTCAGCTACTTTGTTTTCTCTTTTCCTCTTACCTATAGGCCTCACATCATATTGTTCATTATTGTTCAGTAGCTCTATCTTTAAATATTCATTAGTCAATTTAGGATTTATTTTCATGAATTCTACATTTGTACGTCTACATTTTTAAACTTTATGTTCTTGTCAGTTTGGTCACTATCTTTATCCCAATCTGGACAATTTCTTATAATATGTCTCTCTCTATTACACAGGTAACATGTATGAGGTTTGGAGTTACATGATTGTCCTGTTCTTTTATTCATATCTTTAATCATTTTTGTAACAATGTTCTGTATGAGACTTTCCACTTTACTTCGGTTTAACTAATCTTCTTGCTCAATATGGTTGATTTTTAATGCTGCAAGTTCATTTACAAGACTGTTGATGTCGATGTCTGTTTTGCTAGAAGTCACTGGTTTTGCAAATTTATCTCCTTCTTGATTTTGATTCCTTTCTCTTTTATACTCATCTATTCCTAATGCTTTCTTTTTAGCTTTATCATAGTCTTTAGGGCAACAGTTCTCTACTTTTGAACAAAAAGATTCTCTAAGACCTTGAATGTACCAATTGCGCTTTTCATCAGACCTTAGTTTCATATCTATGGATTCAGTATGGGCTTCATATCTATTCATGTATTCCCTTACTAATTTTTTATTTTCTTGTTTTACTCATTTTAACTGAAGGATCTTTATCTCAGGTTTATTTTCCACTTTAACTTTTTTAATGATTTTGGCTTTTAATTGATCCTATGTTTTTTCTGTTTTTACCAACTTACGTACTCACATTCTCATACTTTCAGGCATATGCATATATACTCTGAAACAAGTTGTTTCTTTATCGTATTTTTTCACCTTTATATAGCCTTCGTAATCAAAAAGAAAGTTTTCTATATCATCCATTTCTGCACCTTTATATACAGGTATTGTTGTATCAAAGCTTGTCTCAGTTGGTTATCGTGTTCAACTTGATCCTCAATGTTTGTCTTAATACTTGTTCAGACTATGTTTGTTTTACAGCTTTATTCTTTATCTTTGTTGTTTAGATAAGACATTCAGGTTTATTTGTTATGGATTTGTTGCTTAGTTACAATGTTCATAATTTCAAACTACTTGATTCACAGCTTTTACAGCTTCCACAACTTTATTTAGTAGTCAGTCTAGATTATACTGCTTGTTGTTGCAAGAGATGACAGTTTTGCCCAGGTCCTTCTTTGTCAGGTAGTTAATGAATGCGAATAGCTTTACACTCAATCTGCCTGATGGTTTAAATATTTAATTTATATGCTCATTTTTACTTTATTACATTTTCATTTTCTTGTAATTCCATCAGTTTACTCCTTCTAAATGTTCCTTACTACCAACACACTACTGATGGCATGGCACAGTTTATTTTGTAACTGGTTATTTATAAGAAAATTCCAAGTATGTTCGATCTTATAGATCGAACCTTTATTTATAGTTTATCATATACTATTGCATGATCGACACAATAAGCTTCCTTATTACATTGTTAGTCTGTTATAGACTTTAAATTACACTACGTTATCTAACATATTATATGTATATGATGCCAATCATTACCAACATGTAGTACCCTTGTAATGCCTGATCCTGGTAATTAGCACTACATGCAACCAATCATCACCTGTCAATAACTTTTGAGTTGCTGCTATGTGATTAGTTTTTCTCCTCTTGTGTTAAGTAATTGATTTAAATATATTAAACCAGCTTTATTTACTCTGACTGCTCCTTTTTTTCACAATTGTGCATCTACCAGTTTTTATATTTTAGCACCATACCTGAGCATTGACCATAGTTCACTTTCTGTTCTAATATTTATTTTTAATTTTCTTGCTTTGAGTATTGTAAGGCATGCTAAATTATTCTTCAGATATGTTTCAATTTCTGGCTACTTTTTTGTCTTCTATATATCTTCTGTTAAGTCTGCTCTTTAACAACCTTGCATTATTCTTAGTCTTGTTAACCCTCTGAGACTGTCTTGTCTGTTTAGTCTTGCTATAAGGCTACTTATTTGCTTTGCAATTAAGTCTTGTTGCAATGTTCTACAGCTGCCAAGATCTTTGTGCTCTATTATACAGTTTTCTACTGTTCTTTGTAAACTGCTCTTTTGCTTAGTCAGACTTATTATTGGTTGATGTATTTCATTTAGGCTTCTGTCTGACATCTTCGTTAATTGTAACATATAGCTTAGTTTACATATTATTATTATATTGTTTATGTATACAATCTGGCTTATTGTCATTTTCTTGTACTTCAGATCTCTTATAGTCTGGCTTACTATTCTCTTTGCCTTTTTTTTTACTTGTACTTCTCACATTCTGCTGTTTAGCCATATTTTTAATGAGCAAACTATTTTATGTTTTGGTTCTTCTGTTATTTTACTTTTTCTATATATTACTGTCCTTTCATCTTTTTTGATTTTTGTGTTTATTATTATTAATTTTACCTTTGATCTGTTTATCTCTATATCATTTATTTCAAAAAACTCTTTAGCTATTTCTAGAATCTCTAATAGCTGTTTCTTACTGTTTGCAATCTATGTTGTATCATTTGCATATGCAATTGCCACTTGATGATATTTTGTAATATTGTTGCATTGTATACTTTTTTGTATTCATAGCTCAACTGTATATCCCAAACTTTCATCTTCTTGGATTCTTTTTAGTAATGGGTCATAAAAGAGATGCCATATTAATGGTGAGATTACTTCA